GTAACCATGGCTTACTAGTTTTATTTTTTTGATTGGAAGGATGAAAGGGGGGAATGGCAAAAACTTCTTATAGCATGGCAATACTATTGATAAACTTGGGTGTATGAAACTTGACTCTTTTAATTTCCACTTAGAATATACATACACTGTAATAATGATAATAGCTGCGCTGTTGAGTTTTTAGGGATGAAGTATGATTATGTAGCTCAGGTTAATTTGTTATTTGCAATCCTACTATTTCAGCCTCTAGAATTACAGTTATATGGTTCACACCTGAAATATAAAATTATTTTCAAATCTATTTTAAATTACAATAAATTTTATCAAATCATTCATTCTTGTTTGAAATATTATACCTACTACTATATGCAGACTATATGTATTTTAGCCAACAATACAAATACTATCCCCCAGATATCCACTGGATATCAAATTAACAAAATACTTTTCAATTTACTATAAATTTGTGTTAGGATTGTAGCAGTATACTTTAATTAATGATGGAAGAAACTTGGGAACTTTATGATGGAAGTTATAAAATAATCCCACACTGGTTCAGGTTATTTATTTAAGGGAAACTCATAGATCACTGTCCTAGATCACAGTCCTCTGCACAAACAGGGAACAGAAAGAGAGTCTAGCAGCTGGAAGTGAGAGAGCAAGCTAGGGCTTTTTAGCTGCATCTTTAGTATAAGAGACCATGCCCAAGAGGGCTGGTTTCTTTAAGGCAGATGGAGCTCCCACAGCAGGAAATGCTATCAGAGAACACAAACGTGAGAAGTCTAGAAATAAACTTTGAATGTTTATTATAATATGTATAATGAAATATATTGAAACAACAGCTTTCCACTTGGAAGGAAGGAATAATAGATGTTATGATAAAAAACCCTAAACCGATACTTCCCTAAATGATATATCTGTGTATTTGGATATATTATATATACACATGAATTAGTCAACTTTTTCTTGCAATATGGACCTACTTACCCTAAGAAACCAATGCATTACAAGGATTTTGTGACGCCACTATATTAGATGTTGTTTAGAATGAGTAATGATCACACAATACCACCTGTGACATACCTAGGAAGCACATAGCTCCACATCTGAGAGATAAGCAAGGCCCCATATGACTCTCAGTAGGAAACTCATACAGAATACAAACATCTCACAACCTCAATCCCATAAAGTAAAGTTCCATGGCATCCCTAATTAGACAGCCATGGGAGACAGATTCTTAAAAATATTGAACTCTGGGGAAAAACAGCTCATATACCATCCAAAATAGAGTGTTTGCTCAAAATGATGAGCACAATAGGAACTATTACTAATATCTTTACAGTTCTCACTATACACCAGAACTTTATATTAATATTTAAAATACATTAACTCATGTCATTCCAGCATAACCATATGTACAACCAAGGAGATGAAAGATAAACACTTTGGCCTTCTCCCATAAATAGAATCAGGGGAAATGAGCATCAAATCCAGTAGGTCTGTGGAGAATCATCTATACCAGACCACAGAGGACCACATAGTCTTGAAGCTTTCAAATAATAATCAGGACAATTGGCCTCTGATTCAGATTGTCAGGATTAGTTGGGAGGAAGAAGGCAGGTGAGCTGGGGTTTTGCCCTTTTCTTAGAAGAGATACAATAGCTCAAGTGGAAAATGAATGGTACTAAAAGTTTTTGAGGTAAAAAAGTCATGAAATCCTACTCACCCAACTTTATGGATGATAAAGAGGAAGAAGCAATTGCATCATTGCTGAGTGCAGTTTGAGTGAAAACATGATGAGGAAGAACTAGATTTTCTAACTGACATCCAGTGATAATGTTCACAAGAGTGTGGAATTTCTAGCAACCTAGCTAGAGATATGAATAAAAAGGCCAGCAGATCATCTTCCCAAGTATTAAAATAAATACAGATCATATATTGCTGATCTGTATTTGTATTTTCCATTTTGATTACAGTTGAGATATATTTACAATAGTCTAAAAATAAAAAATATAACCTTTCACATTAAAATATTCTCACAAAAAGCCTAAATTCCTACCTATTTCCTAGAAGAGTGTTACCATAAGAATAATATAAAGGATATTATGTATGTATATTTTAATCCCCAATCATGGTTTACATAATTTTGCACAGCATGTAGGTAATGATAATGGTAAAGTCAGTAAAAATCTAAGTATGTATAAATCATACTCTCTCTATCAGTATTAATAGCCAGAAATAATACACTTTTGCATAAATTTTATTGTCCTCTGGAAGCATCTACTTGGAGGTAAGTATAATTTTAATCTTGATTTTATTTTGGGTTCTTACATATTCACCTGATTGTAAATTATTTAAAAATTGTGGCTGGAGGATTGGGGAGGTTCCTCAATAGTAGTCAGTTACCAATGGAGACTCAGGAGGGATTGCCTGCAGGTCAGAGCTGAGCTTTGGAGCACAAAGAAAGGTACAGCTGATTATTCTCTCAAGAAGAGTGATTAAGAGTTTAATATAATAGAGACATCAAATGCAAATTTACTCATATTTTTGTTACATTATAGCATTACATTGTATCAATTATTGCATCCAAGAAACATTTTCTTGAAGGTTGAGACAATTTTTATGAATATCATTTAGGTATCTTGTATTTTCCTCACAGTCAGATGAAAAATAATCCATGATGTATGCAATTAAATGACAAGGGATGTGTGAAATAATACACACATGCACATGCACACACACACACACATTAGTATATAAGCGTAGATGCCACTGTACTGAAGGTCTGTGTAATGAAGGTTGTTCACTGAGTTGTTATCTGGCTTTAGAAAAACAAAAGGAATTACACTATATTTTTTAATTGTTCCACTTAGAATAAATGAAATTGTAGAGAAATTTGTGGATGGAAAATAGATTTAAACGGGATCTTTATAAGTTGAACATTTTAAGCTACCGACTAATAACACTTCAACATTGCATGGTGCTTTTCAACATGATCAACAACAATAAATTAAACAAATAATATAATATGCCATTCATAAATAATGTTTGGAATCAAATTCATTTGAAACTTTTATCAAATAATATTTACAAATAATCTAGGCTGGTGTTGGCAAATGTCTTTAATCCAGGCACTCAGGTGGCAAATGCAAGCAGATCTTGAGTTCCAGGTCAGTCTGGTCTACCCAGCAGAGTAGACCAGGACAGCCAGGGCTGAATAAAGAAACCATATCTCAAAAAAATTATCATCATCATTATTTTCATCATAATCATTAACATCTAGATGTCATTTTGTGAGATACGGAGATTGAAATACTGGAAAATGTATAGCAGTTGATAGGGGATTTATTTTAGCTTAGTACATGCATTTATTTTATTTATGTGAGTTCCTTAAAGTAAAAAAGAAAAAAAAATGTCTTGCAAAGTAGGTACAGATAACATGATGCCAATATACTAGGCACCAAACACAATCTTGCAGATCATAGCTTCTGGAAGATCCGTATGCAACTTGGGAACAGAAGGAAGTAGGTATTTGCTTCACCATAACCAACTCAGTAAAACTCTTCTGTCAAGTGTCTGGGATATGGTAGGTGTTTACAGTTCCTTTACTCTGGTTAGAACTAGTATGATAGGCGTTCAGGTGTTCCTGACTTCACCTCAAATTAGAAAGACTGCAGTCACAGACAGGTATGCTTGTCTAAAGCCCACAGCTTTTAAAAACAATTTCTTCTGTTATGCCACTGTTAGACTGACACTTAAAATATATTAATATTTAGTCGCTTCTTGACTATATTGGGTCTCCTTGATTATTCAACTATTTGCAATTTTGTTCTATCTTCATTGATTGGTGGAAGACGGAGAGTGTGAGTTGGTTTAGTTTTATCTCCATCCCCCAGGGTAACACTGATTGTAACCATGATTTCCTCTATGCTCTTGGACCCTGTCCTCAAAGAATCCTTGTCTGTCTCAGACTCATTGTGATTATTAACTTTACCTAACGCACAAATTCTTCTCTGCTATCCCGGGTTGAGGGATAAACAAATTAATGGGAATCAAGTTTAGGAGAACTGAGGGTTGAGGGATAAACAAATAAATAGGGATTAATGGAGAACCATGGTATAAGGAAATATGTGCATTGGGTTGTAATGCCAGACAGTAGAGGATAGTAGGTCAGGAAAATTGAAAACATCAGTATGGTGAATTTCAAAACAGAAATCAAGTGAGAGGCATAACCAGTAGTAAGCTTAGAAGTGACAAGATTGACTATCCCATGACATACCTTTAAATGCTTAGTAAAATTGTAGGTGGAAAATGGAGAGGTTAAATGTCTTCCCTTTTCATTTATCTGTTGTATTTTTCATTGTTATTAAAACTGTTATATTTTAATAAAAATAGTTCATACATTGAGTTATATCATTAGTATTTATATCAGTTATTGAAAAACATAGTCTAGAATACCATCTAAAGTATGAGTCTAATGTAGAACATCAGAGATATAGATGTATTACAAAATATAAATAGTAGAGAGACAAAAATCAGCAATTATATAGAAAATATATGCAACAATTTATTTATTCCATATTAAGTAATTTACTGTAAATTGTTTTTTATTCTCTATTACATAAATGTCTACACATTTTTACTTTTGGTAACAGGAAAATTTAGTTTGGATTATTTTTTAAAATATTTTGAAGTTTACAAGAGTAACTCAGGGGTTAAGAGTTCTTGCTGGTCTTGAAAAAGATGAGGGTTTGCTTCCAGCACCCACATGATCACTTACAACATTCTATAAATTTATAACCACGAGTTCTGCTGCCCTCTGCTGGCTTCAGAAAACCCAAAATATGGATATGGTATAGTATACATACATATGTGCTGACAAAACACTTAAAATATTAAATAAAAATAAATATTACAAAAATTCGTTTTGCTAAGAATCTGAATTAAGAATCAGCGAAAAGATAAAAAAGCAGCAGAGCGCAGAGGATAAGAATGCTTACCAAAAGGATGAATCACACCAATGATTTTGTTTGCTAGTTGGTCAGAAATGAAGCAGGAGGGAAGGACTGTTCAAAGCTTACATTTTTATCTCATGGTCATGATGCAGTTGTTTGTGAAATAAAATAATATAACATGAGCTCCGCATTAATTACAGGTGAAAGCTGCTGCAGGTGAGCAGCATGCTGGATGCTGGACATTGGCTCTCAGGGATGTTTACCCTGACCTGGGCACAGTTTGGAATGATCTGTGCTTTGAGAGTGGGAAAAGCAAACCAACTTTATCTGTTACGGTTATTTCTGTTTATCCTGTAAGTCTTGCTCAATCTCTTTACGGAAGGGAACTTTGCACAGGTCTGTGTTCCAACTTGGTGCTTGTGAGGTTCAGAAGATGAAGAATGCTACAGGATTCATTTAGAATAAGTTCAGACCTCAAAATGCTATACAAGTCTTGAATGGAAGTCTGTTTTCACTAATTTTGCTTTTGCGTATCAGACTCTGTATGAGTTAGCATAGTAACAACTATCTTCCTAAAAGTGCAAATGTATCCAATATGCGAACTGTAGCATCTTTATAAAAAATAGACCAGCAACAATTCATCATTTAGATAAATGTGATTCACAACTCCTCTTTTTGTACTGCCCTTATTGCTTCATCATTTTGCTGCTTTATTCTTCTGTCTCTATTCCATGAATAAGGAATACAGCATTTTAATGATTCTTGTAAATAGAGACGGTATTTTTTTCTCATGAACCACAAGGAAAAATATTCATAATATTTTATTTCTGTCATTGTACTTGAGATTAATAGCACAATTTCTCATCCACCAAGTTTATTATAGGTCATAAAAATGAATAGGATCCCTTTCCTGATTGGCTGAGGAGGAGAGTTTAATCTTATGTAATTATCTTTCAAATCACACATGCATCAGTACAATAAAACTCTCTATTAGATCACTGAACCATTTCACATGATCTTAAAAAGATTAATAATCATTTAAACTTTATATACCTCAAAATATATCTCCCATGGTAATTTTTTTAAAAAAAAATAAACTACAAGTATGAACAAACTAGCTCACTAAGTAATAGAAGGAAAGAATAAGAAAGAAATTACTGAACAATCATGGTATTATTTTCTCTTAATCTTAATAGAGATAGGTAGAAAAGTGGGAATCCAGAAAAATGCGGTATTAGGCCAAAATTCTTAAAAAAAAAAAAAAAAAAAAAAAAACCTAAAAATGCTACTCCACTTATATATAAATGTTCATTTATCACAAGTCATAATATTTTTATACAGAGAAAATATCCCTGAATTTTCTGATGTTGTTATTTGCAGATGTTTTTGTATACGTATGTATGATATGAGGGTGTTGGTGTGGGTACACAGGTATCAGGCTCATGCAAACACGAGAGGATATCATCTATGAGTCAGTTCTCTCCTTGCAAGGCAAACCTGCCAAGTTATCTTGCTTGCCAAAGTATATTCAAAAGAGTCAATTAAACCAGGTAAGTACTGCAAAGGGAAGGCAGCGGTGGGTCAACTATTGTGTAAACAGGTTCCCAGAGATTTCCCTTGTAAATCTTGCACTCCGGATAGGATAGTGTTTCCTACAACACTATTTCAGGGTAAATGCTTCCTATTAGAAAGACAAAGAAAAGCTGAGGCACCCTGCCAGAGTCCAACACAAGTGCATGTATGGGTTTTATGCACTAAACAGAATCTGTGATGCAATAGCTTTTTTATAAAGATAAAGCTGTGGAAACATCCGGTGAATGAGTATGTTATGTACTGTATTCATTTGTCTCTTTTTTATTTGTTTGTTTGTCTTTTCAAGAAAAGGTTTCTCAGTAGCTTTGGTGCCTGTCCTGGAACCAGTTCTTGTAAACTAGGCTGGTCTCGAACTCACAGAGTGCTGGGATTAAAGGCATGCCCCACCATGGCCCAGGTTCATTTGTCTCTTGATAGTCAACTAGTCAACTTTTCTATGAGAAAAAATAAAACAAACAGAATCAGAATTTAAATTATCTTAATATTTTGCTATTTGAAACTCATATAAATCTTCCAAGCTTTTAAAGTCATTTTCATCACTATTTATACTCTTAAATAATTAAACAATAAATCGTAATTTTAAAGTTTGTTGTTTTTCTTTATACTTCTAGTATAATAAAATATATTAAATTTAATTCAGCAAGTAAAGGTTAAATTTGAATATCTTGGGTATAGCTCACTAAGCTATTGAGACAAATATGACTCAGTTATCCAACAAAAAATAAATATTTGTAAGTGCTTAAAAATTATAAAAGACATTTTATTTCCTAATATAGATTCCCTTTAAACCTAAGATTACATAAATCTTTCCCAAACACAAACTATGTTTTTAGAATTTGACAAAACACAGATTGAAACAGGACTTTACAGCTTCAGAACTGACACAAGGTTCAAACAAAACGACATTCTAGTAAAAGTGAGGGTCAACTTGGACCCTAAAATGAATGGATGTGAGGGGACAAACCTTTCCTGTACAGAAGGTTTTGTTCTAATGTGGAAATGTCACAAGGCTACTTCTGACTTCAGAGCAGTACCTGGAGGGAGCAAGGAAGCATAAATGTCACCAAACCTCAAAGGCAGACAGCTCTTGACTCAGTGTTCTGTCTAGGAACCTTATTATGCTGTTTCACAGCGAAGAAAACTACCCCATCATAGCTCTCTGCGGTGATCTATACCTTAATATGATTGTAGTTTATAAACAGTAGGGACACGTTCAGATTTTCTTACAATGAATGATGAATACAGGAAAAATAAACATAAACTTAAAAAATACAGTTAATAGCAGGCGAATATAACTTATGCTTGGAGCACTAGAAACCTAGCTATTAATGGTGTTTCTACCACTTGTTATTTATAGACACATAGAGAATACATATAAACTAATACCCTCTCAGAAATGCGATTATAAAGACAGGATATTCAAAACACACCATCATTTAGCAACAAATATGTGTTTGGTGCCAGCTAGTGACCGAAAACTAGTAGCTCTGTAAGCTCTTGTCATCATGACAAATGTAGGTTCACTACCGCTCTCTCAGGTAGTAAGAAAGCACTTTGGAAATATGCATGGCTTAAGGAAGGCAGACGTGCTGAACTTGATATAGTTTTCTATGAAAATATCGAAAAAAGATGTATCTAGATCTTCATTCAAACATTAGATGAAGCATCTTTATTCAATAATATACTCAGTGACATACAAGGGTAAAGTTTCTTTCCATGACCATTGTGGATAACTCAAATGAGCTCCACATCCTCCGATTTTCCAGTTCTGTTTATAGCAGCCAGATACCTTCTCTGTTTATTCATTTTCCACCTTGAGTTCTAACTCAGAACTGCATAACAGCTACTTTATCTACCACTGTTCAACATCCTTGTTCCTTAGTTTTATACGTAAACAGTGTTTAATGTCTCACACATCTGCCAGCATAGAAAAATTAATAAAAAGTATGCAAATATAGAAAGAAATTGAGAAGAAAACATGACTGATTTGCGATAGTCAAAATGATAAATGCCTAGAGAAGAAAGACTCGGGCATTTTACCACTTGATTCTATGGGTGGTGCTGTCTGGGGAGATGGGATATATTTGCTGGAGGAAGTATGTCACGGTAAACTGGATCTAATGGTTTATAACCTTCTCTCCACTTCTAGCAAATGCTTCACATTTGTGAAAATGTTATCTCTCATGTTCCAGCCATCAGCCAGGCCTGCTCTTGATTGCAATGCCTACCCATTGTGGTGGACTTCCATGTCTCTGGAACCATAAGCCCAAACAAACTCTCCTTTTTATGAGTCATTTTGGTCACTGTATTTTATCAAAGCAATACAAAAGAAACTAATGCATGAAACAAAAGCATTCAGCAGAAACTGTGTTTGCTTCTTCTGACTTAAACACTAGATAAATGATTCTTTCTTAGTGTTGTATTTGGATTTCTTTAAGTTGAATTGGCCCTTTTAATTAATCACTATATCACCTTTTTATATGGGTAAATGAATGGTTGGTGTATTTTTGTTGTGCACATGTACATGTGGACAAACATTCACAAATCTGTGATGCATCCACGTGTTGAAGGAAACATGTTGACTTTGATGTCTTCATCAATTTCTCTTCACCTTGAGTTTTTGGCAAATGAATCTCTTAACTGAACATAATTTCACTATCTGACAAGGTTGGTTGACCAGAAAACTCCAGATCCATATAACTCTAGCTCTGAGGTTACAGATATGGTCTACCAAGCCAACCTTTTCACGTGGTTTCTGTGCCTCTAATCTAAAATCCCCACCTTTTCACTGAAGAAATGAGTTATTTTCCCATTCCCCAGGCTATAATTATTGTGGTAAAACATACTTCTTCAGGTACAGAATATTTTAAACATCCATTAACATACACACACACACACACACATACACACACACACACACACACACACACACACACACTGAGAGAAAGAGATAGGGGAGGGATAGAAAATTAGCTAGGGCAATATAAATATTTTGACCCTATTTGTCAAAAGAAAAGAAAAGGAGTTTTTGTGTGGGTCACACTGTATTTTCAGAGTTTTTCAATCATGTAATAAGGACAAAAATTTGCTCATTAATCTGCTATTTTCCAACTAAAGTGAATCATGCAAATACATTTATTTTTCAGTTATTCCAACTTTTACACTATCCTCAACAGAAAACATACAAAGGACAAAAGTCCAGAAATTCTATTTTTCTGATGTTCAAGTATATATGGAGGAATCTGCCTAACCACCTCACAGAGGGACTGCTCATAAGAGATTTTCCATATTCCAGGTCTAGACTTCAGTCACATTTACGTAGCTTACTGAACAATGTACTTTCTTCAGAAAAAAATCTTGTAAGAGCCAAGTACAAAAGGGATTTCCCATGAAAAAGGACGAGGGAATTACTAGCTATTTAAGACAAAAAGCAAACAGACAAACAAAAACAAAACAAAACAAAAAACCTGACTCTTAGACAGTGTAGCGGTAGACTTTAATTTTTGTGACCAAAGTTTATTTATTTATTTTACATCCCTACTACAGTTTTCACTCCCTCTTCTCTTCCCGTTCCCACCCCCTCCCCACCCTGCAACTACTCTTTCTCTGTTTCTGTTTAGAAAAGGGAAGGCCTCCCTTGGGTATCAAGAAAGCATGATGTATAAAG